AGTATCTTAGATGGCCGCTCACAGGCTTTTAAGACCCCAGACACTACTCACCAAGGTAGAATGTAGAACATTGTCTTTATAAACTGTGTCATGCCAATTGAGCTAGATGATGAAGGACTCCATTTAATATTTCTTGTAAGGATGGTCTGGTTTTTATAAATGCTCTTAGTTTCCGTTTATCAGGAAGATTTTCTCCCCCTTTATTTTAATCACTTGGTTGAGCCATCTTGTCTTGTTTCTTTATATGATTTGATATTGTCTGCTCTCTCCAGCATTAAGGTGTTATTTATGATTTTTTGTTTTGTTTTGCTGTTTTGATATATCAGCAGGTGGGTCGGGCATGCTTCCATGATCGCTAGTCTGGCAGCATGGGGGCATTTCTACCTGCCCCCAGGTGGACAATCAGCAGTGGGCAGGGTGAGCCCTCATCGCTGTTCATTGTACATGTGAGACGGCTGAGGGGTGTGCTGCACAGGTGTTAGCTGGTGGTATGGGAATGCTCACAGTCACTTGCCAGGTGGGCGGGTGGCAGACAAGGAACAGGGTGGGTGACCAGAGGTGCAGAGGCGCTCTCTCCAGCAAGAGAGGGGCAAAGCAGGCAGCCAGTGGGTATGGAGGTGCTCCCTCCAGCAGGGCAGGGCAGGGCAGGACAGTCAGCCAGGGATCACGCAGGCACTCTCTCTGGCAGGGGTGGGGTGGGGTAGATGGCCAGGAGTCCTGCGGGCACTCTTTCTGGTGAGGGAGAGGTGGGGCATGCGGCCAGGGGTCATGCAAAGTGCTCTCTCCAGTGGGGAAGGGTGGAGTAGGTGGCTGGGAGCGGGGAGAGAAGAAAGAGGGAGGGGGCTTGTCTACTGCTTCGTGTTCGCCCCCTGCTCTACTGGTCAGGTACCACTGCTGGAGAGTCCCCCTGTCTCTGGGTCCTGATTTCTTCCCTGCTCTGTGTACACCAGGATCCTTGAAGCTCTCATCCACCTTCCTGTACTTTCCCTCCTTAGCTCCAGTTCACGTCCTGCTCAACTTGCTTCACTCCGGGTATGTCTGCGCAGTTTCTCTCTCCTGTTGGGAGTTCTGTGATGTTGTCTTCCTTATGCTTCTCACCCAGGGTTGCTGCTGGCTTTGTTTCAAAATGGCCTTGCTGTGCCAGACTGGCTGGCAAGGTACTTCCGCTCCATATTTCTCCGTTTGCTGCTGTCATTCAGTTTCTTTTTCCAGTCGGTGTTTTATCTAATTCTGTATCCTTTCATTTGATGCTCAGAGTTCCAGAGTGGTCATCTGTATCTGTTACATTTTGTTTTACGGGTCTTTGCTGCAGAGCGACTGTGTGGTGTGTCTGGCCAAGCTGCTGTGTTAAATCCTCCCTAAAATACAAAAGGTTTTGTCAAAAAGAACTTTTTTAGTTAATATACAACGAGCATACATATTCTTCTTCATCCTTTTCTGTGGCTAAGGAGATGCCATAATTTCATCAGTATTTCCCTGCTAATGAAAATGTAGGTTGTTCCCAGTGTGGGGCTGTGATAAAGCCCTCTGAGGGCGCATCCTACCTTGCACATGCTGCTTTAGCCTTCTCCCGCTGTTTCCCAGGATCAGTTCCTGGATGTGGAGTGACTGGACCCCATGGGATGCTTCAGATACACAGGGCCCAGCTGCCCTCCAGGACACCTCATGATGTGCCCTCCCACCCATGGTTTCTCCAAAATGAAAATCTTACTGCTTTATTTTTAATTATAATGCTAAATGAACACTGGAAATCGGGTAATTCAGAAAAAGATTTTTAATAGGGTAAAATCACTCCAAATCCCAATACCCAGAGATCAACCATTAGCATTCTGGTGACAGGCCTCCACAGATTTACTTTATATACACATGTACACACAAATAAGATTGTGGTGCACTTGCGGCTTTACAGCCTGTTCTTTAAATTTTTATTCAGCAGTATGCCGTGGATATCTTTATTATCCTTTTTTCAGTGCGTCAGTAGCAATTCTGTTATATGGAAACAGCACACTTTATTTTAATCTATCCCTTATAGATGGATCTCTAGGTCTGTTGGTTGGTTGGTTGGGGTGCAGGGAGGGGAGTTATTATAAATAACAGTGAAGGGAACATATTTATATGTACATCTTTGCATACTCTTGTTTTTTATCTCATGATAAATTCCTACAAGAGGAACTTATGAAATTAGGAAAAACAGGGTAAGTCTGGTTGGTTGGTTCCATTCTGAGCAGTACAGATGGGCCTTGGGAAGTTGTCCAGGACTAAGTCTGAAGGGTGGCCAGCAGTTCCCTTTCTCTAATGCCTCTTCCTCTTACAGATTGGCCCGGATTCTTGTCCGCCTGCCGGCACTCAGGCTGATGAGCTCCAACATAACTGAAGAACTCTTTTTTACCGGTCTCATTGGCAATGTTTCAATAGACAGCATAATCCCCTATATCCTTAAGATGGAGACAGCAGAGTACAACGGCCAGATCACTGGAGCCAGTCTATAGTGCACACTGCACGCCTGCCAGGGGGCGGAAGACACCTCCAGAATCATTCAGATACAAGGAAAATAAAAGTAGTGGTATTTTGGTATGTGCACATATTTCCAGTATGTTAGCCATCTCCTACCTGGTTTCTTCTTATCTGTTAATCCCTGAAAATAGCAACTAAAAGACTAGTAGGATCCTTTCTTGCCATAAGAAATGTTTTAATGCCTTTTGATGAAGTAGCAAATTTTGGAACAATCTTTTAACTCAATTTGTATTTAGAAATTCTCAAAGGGCAAAAAACAAAAATTTTATAATGTCAGAGACTAGTATTAAAACTAAAAGAACCTAAGAGAACAGTATGTTTGTATATATGTTAAAAATGTCCTTGGAATTAATAGCTACTAATTACCAGGGTAATAATATTAGCACTTTCTAAGCACTTCTTGTCAATGCGTAATGTTAGCAACATCTTGCCTATGGACAAGGCAAGTGAAATCTGTATGTCTTTTGCCGAAATGCTAATGATTTCTGTGAAAACTCACTAGGGTACAGGAGACAATCGTTTAAGAAAAGAGGGCATCATTCCTAATTTTATGCACATATTGGTGGTGTTGAGCTAAATCCCTGTGAAGGAACACAAATGTGGCTTATTTGCAGCATGCAGTGAAAGGATGGTAGCACAGTCGGTGGTGACCCAAACCAGAAGCTTCCAGCTGTAGAGTTGATGCCTGTCAGGTTCCCTGACCACGTGGTCCTGGTGTGTGATGGGTGTCTGCAGACTCCTCAAGAACCTGTGGTTCTCCTCTGATGACGGTTCTCAGAATCAGATTGCAACCCAGTCAGAGATGAACTGCCAAACGAGACATGCAATTTCTCCAGCAACTGAAGCCATCCCCAAATCACCTCTGCCAGAGTGCAAGGCAGACGGAGTCATCTGACCAAAAAGCGCAAGGTGGCATTTGGAGCTCTTGACTGGATTTCCTGAGCGCGGCCTGGGTTGGCTGTGTGTTGTTCAGATGGAGGAGTGGGGGCCTCCTTGGAGTGTGGGGTTCCTTCCTTAGTGGTTTCCAATCCAGACACTCCCTTGAGAGGTGCCTGTGTTCTGCAGCACAGTCGGAACAGGCTGGCAGTGGGGCTGTGCAGGGTCTTGCTGCCTGGCCCCGATGGCCAGGGCCTGGAGGAGCTGAAAGGAAGGTCTCAGGACAGTTTCTGTCTGTTGACCTTAAACATTTCTCAAAATGCCTCCAGACTTGTCAGCTCTGTTGGATTTTATTGGTCCTGGCATACCGTGCACTTTGGTTCCCCCAGGTATAGGCCAGCAAACCGCCCTCGAGTAAAGGCAGACCGCCTGCTCCTTCAAACCCAACCCTCATCTCCCAAGGTGATGTTCTTTTACGTTATAGCCAGCAGCTGAGTTTACAGCAGGACCAGAATACGGTTATAAGGAAGCTCTGTGTAGGGCAGAGCAGCCATTAACTCCATAGGCATGAAAAAGCAGCAGCCATTTCCTATTTGGGGAAACTGGCAAGTCCAAGACCGGGCCAAGTGCTTTGTTTTCTTCTTACATAACCAGATTAAGAAAATGGATCCTGTAAGGCTAAATTTGAGCCTCTTGAACCATTTGATCAGATGATGTCCAAAAACACCCCAGTACGCTCCCCACCTCCACCCGAGGTGCTCGGATCTGCTTGGACACATGGTGTCAAGGTAAGGCCTCATGAGGCCTGTGGGGTGCGGGCCAGACTGCCAAGCACTGCGGCACCATGTTGACAAGCTGAAGGGTGCCGTAGGCCTTAAGGGATGCTTTACCCTGAAGCAGGTGTTAGCAGCACTTTGAGTCATCATTAATGGGAAGTCAGTGGGGACAGGATCTCCAACTTTTAAATTCCCATTTGGATTTAATTATATCATTTATAGTTCATGCCTTGGAAGCAAATTTTGGAGAAGAGAGAAGATGGCCATTATAAAATGATGGAAAGGATTTCATTTTGCCAGCTTAAAGTAATTTTTAGTTTTCTGACTCTGAAGTCAACTTTAATTTCAAAATTACAACAAAAAACTGGCCAAGACAGTGGAGTTAGGGTGGGTCTGTCTCATTTCTGCTTGCGAAGGATTTTAGTAGAGGGCATTTTGAAGCATGTTTACGCATCTTACACAAAAGTTGCCTATTTTTCTGTTCTTTTGATTTTTTAATGTAAGCATGTCTTTTGATCATGTAGCAATTGCCTGGGGATACATGTTGTGTCAAATCTTTCAGATCTGAGTTCTGATGTTAGTGACAAGGTCCACACCAGCCAGCCCCCCTCACCCCCATACCACTCAGCAGGCAGGCCTGGGAGTCCTAGGTCCATTATGTGGTTTAAGACTCAGACTGCCTTAAGATATTGGGGTACCTAACCCAAGACATAGACTGGGCTTCTAAAGGTGCCACTGTTTAAATATATTGTGAATAGAGGTGAAACTGGCAGACACTGAGCCCTTGGACAAGATAAAGTGCTGGGCTCTGATGAGATAACGCTGGAGAAAAACAGGATTTAGCTTGGAAGGTTGCTGATTAGAATCTGGTCCTGCCCTTTAATCTCCTTTACAGGTGATGGCTGATTCCAGTGGGCCATTTTGGATTTTGAACACTCCCTCATTAATTGCCCAGGTCCTCTTGGCCTTACTGTTGAAGTAGCCTTTTCCTTAAGGATCACATCACACAACCAGAACTCTCTGCCTGAAGTCATTTGAAGCCTCTGACTTGCAGGTCCATCTGTCTCTTGGATTTTTTGTTTGCATTTGTTTTTTGTTGGGGAGCAAGAGAGGGTCAAACTAGTTAAGAGAAGTAAACCCCAAAGTCCACAATTATTTAAAGGGATCCTAACCAAATATTTGAGCTCCACCTTTCACAAGGCTTTAAGCCCTTGTTAGTAGTTTGTGAGACTAGCTTTAGTGAAATGAGGCAAGCTGTCAGCCTGCTGAATCTGAGATGAGCCAGGGGTGGGATTCGCTGCCATGTAGCCTGTTCCCACTCCCTTAGTGAGGAGAGGCACATGGCTAAGGGAGGTGGGGACAGACACACAGTCACTCTGGGTAAGTAGGCCCTTTCCCATAGCTCAGATAATGCTGGATTAAGATAGTTATGTGTTGAGATTTGTGGAGGTCATTACATATATGCATTAAACAGGACAGGAAGAGACTTACAAAAAGACCAATTACTCAAGCAGATAGTATATTTTCAAGTTATTCCTGGTAAGTTTTTAGGAAGTATGGTACCATCCTTCTAATTTGAAATCTGTTCATGTGTGTTGGGGGTTCCTTATTTATCGTCTAATCTCTGCCGTAAGGCCATGGTTTGGGGTTCTTTGGTTACCTTGGTTTTTGTGTTTAATTTCAGGTGTGGTCATTTGTTTTAAGATGTGCTACATAATTGCTCTCAAGAGGGATTGTGTTTTAGTTTGTCAGTGTCAGTATTAAATGTGAACTCTGAGGATGCCGGCCACGGTGGTCATAATGGACACATCCAACTCCTTGGTTTCCCTAATGTAACAGCAGCTTTACTAAAAAAGGGCATAGACTTGTAGCCACACTACATACACTTAGCTGTTTGCTTGCTTTTAGGGTAGTCACAGTAGAAAGCTAAGAATTATAAGAGCTCTAGCTGTATCCAGTGCTCTTTCTCTCGGAAAAAAACTAACCCTTTGGGCCTCTTTGGGGGAATTGTCACCAGACCAGCCTTGCTCACAGCTGGCTCTAGGGTCGCCAGGCCATGCCCAGCTTCTGTGGACCTAAGCAGACTGGAGTCTAGATGCTATTGCCCACTCCCCAGTATCAATGGCCTTGTGTGCAGTGGAGTCACAGATGACGTCTCACTACTTGGGTCCAGCCTGGAAAGCCATCTTCTGCAACTCTTACCCCAGGTGGGCAGTGCCTGTAGCTCTGGAAATGTGGCTCCGCTGCAGAGCAGATGCCTGCAGGCTTCCTTTGGTCCAACACCCATTATCTAGATTGTGAGGCTTCTGAAATGTCTTATCTTTGACGTCATCTTTTAAAGCCAGCCCCCAACAGAGATAGGGCTGGTTTGGGTCTTTTGTGCACAGGGCTGGACCTCCTCATTGTGTGCCTCCTGCCAGTGTGCACTTCTGCTTGTCCAGTCCTGGGTGCTTCACAGCGGTGTACGTGAACAGGCTTGTAGGCTGTCTGACTGAATGAATGTACATTTGTTTATATCCTCTCTATATGTACAGTGTATATAGTGTGCCTATGTGTATATAGATGTATATTATGTATACAGACATGTAGCCACGTATCCAAACTTTTTTTTTTTTTTTTTAAAGAGCGTCTATGGTATTGCTCGTGTAAATTGACAAGGATGTTGCAAGGCCCCTCAGCAGGGGAGATTTGCTGGTGATACTCTTAACTAGAGTTCCCTTTAGGTGAGCCAGGCTGGGAAGGGCCACAAAACCAGTTAAAAGAAGGAATCACCACTCTGCACAGGGAAAAATTCCAGACAGAAAAGGTTCTGACAGAATGACATGTCTCTGTGTTCTCCAGGTTCAGACAAGGGCCAGGAAGCTGGAAGACAGTTTATTATAATGTCCAAAACTAGGTGGTGATTTTTAACCAGCTTTTCACATACCTATTTATGGCCCAGCTGGAGGGAACACAGTAGTTAAAGCCATCGACCTTCCCAGACACTCAGCATGTCAAATGGTCCGGAGACAACATCGTGGTCCAAGACCCAGAATGGTCCATCTCAGGGGAGCTTGCCTCCCACATGTGGTAGCAGTTTCCCACCTTCCTGTGATCAGTCAGCAAGGGGGGGGGGCACTGTCCTGCAACTAAACAAAAATTCCCATCTGTCTAACACCAGTTAAAAAACATCAGATAATCTTTAAAAATAAGCATGAATGTTGATGGTTAACTTTTGTGGCATATAAGCTACAAACCTTAAATTACTTCCCTAAATGTAAGCATGTGAATGAAATCCATTGACTTAACACCTTTCTGTAAATTATGATTTAAAATTTTTAGATAAAAATTGCATTTTATATGGATATGTGTGCCCATAAAGTTATAGATGCCAACTTTTTCTTGTCCAGATCTATTCTGATGAATTTTCCCCCTTAATCAGGCCTTAAACTGTGAGGACCCACTGAGGAGGCAGTGCCCAGCCCACAGTGCTGCTCACTGGCCTGGTGAGTGTCTGGGATGCTGGAAGAAACCATTCGATAACCGCAGAACTCACATACATACCCGTTGCTTCTTTTTTTCCTTCTTTTTAAAACAAGCTATGAAGTATTTGAAAACACTTTGTAAGACCATTGTACTCAGTGCCTTTTGTGAGATGGGCCATGTCGCCTTCAGCTTCCCTCATTTTTTATGTAAAGAAAGCTTCTGGTATTTCACTGGCCTCATCCAACAGTGATTGTTTGACCTTTCACATGTCATTGCCTGTCCTGACAATCACACTATTGAAGGTGGCTTTCCAGTCAAAATACAAATGGAATCTTGACAGTCTCTAAATCTTTAAAATAAAAATGTTCCTTTGGGCTACTTATCTTAACCACAATCTAAGAATAAACTGTGAGCTTAAAAATAAAGAGTTTAGGGGGAGAGAGAGAAGTGTATGAGATTTTTTTTAAATGCCCAGCTAGACTTTCAGTTACAAAACAAGTAATTTTGGCATCTCAATATTTACACATACGACATAGAAAAAATGCTCAACAACATTTACCACTCAATTTACAGACTACGTTAAAGTTTAATATTTGGATAGCATTTGGAAGTAGTAAACTTTATATTTAAAATGGCTTTTCTTTAGGAAAGTATAATCGGCTATCATTTTAATGACCATAGCATTCATGAACTCAAATGCTGCTGCCACATACAACTCAAGTGCTGGAATATTTTTCTACAGTCTCTCTGTTCTACCAATTATCTTGTAAACCAGTGTTTAACTAGTTTTATAACTAAAAAGCTGCACATTTTTCATAGTACAAACTGTAGTTTTTACTTGTAGTTTGGACCTCTCTGTTAAAATGTAGCTGTATCATCAGCCCTTTTAAAAGACATCTGTTAAAGGAAAATCCGGATGTTCGTTTTTTTGGGACCGTTTCTGTAACCTCTACCCTTTACAATATAGAAAATATTGTTTATGCCATTACATTTTAATTCCAGGTTTAAAACCTGTTGAAAGCTATAGCTTTCCACAGCTTTTTTCCCCCGTGAAATCAGCTTTGTATGTGTGATGGCATTTAAAAAATAGCATGTTCTTTTTAAATTGAATTTTATATCTAATCAATGTCTTCAGTCTTGAAGAAGAATTTGCATTGTTGTGTTTGTATATAGAGTATTGCAGTGCATGAATTAGCTTTATGCATTTTATTAAATGCTGTTTCAATGTGGCATTATTGTTGTGGCTTAAAACTACTACCTAAATGAGGTTTATACTATTAAACGTGAATTAAAGACTAGTATCTCGCTCTTGATTTCTCCTAATTTTATTATTACCCCCTGACACGCAGAGACTCCCAGATGCTCCCATCTGAGCCTGGGTTAAGTGGGGAGGAAAGCCTCCTGGGAGTCAGTCTCCACAACACTCCTCCTCAAACCATAGCCTCATCCAAAGGTGATTTAGCCCTTTCTGGTCCCCTGGAACTTGGAAATACCTGTAGTGGAGAATTCTAGCAGGATAATTTCTGCCCATCCTTGCGGGGAAGTCTCTGTCGTGGAGGTAAGGGAGTACGCAGATGTTTCTGGAGCTGTGGAGTGAAGCACAGAGGCAGGCCTCCAAGCAGCTAGGTCACTGTAAGGATACCTGCTACCAGTGTAAAATGTGCTCTTAAGGTCTCAGAACTGACTCATGTAGTGTGCCCTCTCATCTTAAGCTTCAGCTTAGAAGGTGAGCACTGCACAAAGGCTTGCCTTTGGATTTCTCAAAAATGCCCAAAAGGTCTGAATGGAGTGTCCACACTGCCAGACTCAACCCCACAGCTCTCAGTTCTTCAGAGCAGGATATGGAACAAGACATGACGCCAAAAAGGCCACGAAAGAGTAGAGGGATCGAGACGGGTGTCCACAAGCTGGCCTTACAGCCTCCCCTCCCAAAGCCCTGTCCTCATGCAGGCCTGCCTTCTTTGCCTGAGACCAGCTAGCACACCCTCACTGCTAGATGAAGCACTTTATTGGCACGATGGGGTGGGAATATTCATTTAGCAGCTCAGCTGCAGTTCTTCCTACCCCCTCCCCAACATCCTTTTTCACAGGTGTGTAAAAGAGACCCTTCTATCATAAACAGATTTCCAGAGTGTCTGTGGGGACAGACAGGCTCACGGGCTTCCCTGTGGCCGAGGAAACACCATACCAAGCTCCCCATAGTCAGGCTGAATCCCCCCAGCCCCAGGGGCTAAGGCCTCAGTCCTGGGCACCGGCTTTCAGCGTTGCTTTGTACTTCCCCCTCATCTCCTTGGGTAATGGCACCAGGGCTGGGCAGGGCACCTGCCCCTCCACTTCACAGATGCACTCCCGCAGGCAATACTTCCGGGGACCAAAGTTGGCGGGGTGAGAGAGCTGCTTTTTCTCCTGCTCCTCTTTCTTGAGGGTTTCTCTGCCAAAGAGCACACACAACAAAGCATGAGCACCACTGTGAGGGAGGGCAGGAATGTCTCAGCCCAGCAAATCCCCCACAAGTCAGGGAGACATGGGTCTCATTTGCCTTCTAACTGTTCCTCCCTCCCCAGGTCCACTGGCCTCCAAGGAGGGAGGAGGGCTTGGCAGGAAGGCCCCCTAGAGGAGAGCAATGTCAGAGGCCCCAGGGGGAGTGGTCACTTGGGAAGCACATCCCAGATGTTGTATTCCCACCCAAAACCACAGAACCAAACACACCACAGCAGTGGCTCAACCCTCAGGGCCACCCTCAGGTGGGGCCTACATCTCTGAATGAGGCATGATCACAGATAAAGAGCTCTGGAAATGCCTCATGTGGCTTCTCAGAGTTCTTGGCTTCCCTCCCTCCCCTCTTGTCTCCTTTCATTCATGGGAAGAAAAGGGATGTGCCTCAGGGGACCCAGGGATTAGACATCTGCCAGCTCCAAGCTGACAGGCCCGAGAAGCATCAGCAGCACACAGGATAAGTGTTTTAGCTGCATTTCTAAGGGAGCTAAAGCTTGCACAGGTACAATGACTTGAAGTCACATATCTGGTGAACAGCACAGCGAGACCTGAACGGATGCTGCAGCCCACACTCTGAACCTTGGTGCCTCTATATCCTCTCGACCCCTCCCAACACACCCCTCTTCTCTCTTCACACTCTGGGCTAAGACATTTGCTCCCCTCCAGGTCAACCCCAGCCACTCACTCGCTCTTCCCCAGGATTTTTTTGATGTGCTCCATAATCTCCTTATTGCTCTTGGTCTCCACATCCACCAGGACCTGCTCCCCAGAATCTGGAAACAAGAAGCTTAGTGAGGAGAAAAGCTGAAATTTGGCAGCACACTCAGCCTCAAAAGGTTGGGACCTGGGATTTGCTTTCAGTGGCAGAAACATTTTAACAATAAAATAAATATATTTGATTACATAGCCCATACACTATCCCCTCATTTTTCCATTTCTTTAGACATAAGCAGACAGAAACTTTAGATATGTGCAAAAGCATACATTTTAATTGAAATTCCACATTCATGGATAGTAAGCCTCAACACTGTTAAGATGGCAATTCTCCCCAAAGAGATCTATAGATTCAATGCAATCCCTATCAAAATCCCAAGTGTTTTGCAGAAGCTAACAAGTTGATCCTAATATCCATATAGAAATGCAAAGAACCCAGAATAGCCAAAACAATTTTGAAAAATAAGAAAATCGGAGGATGTTCACTCTCCGATTTTAAAATACCACCAGGCTACAGTAATCAAGATGGTGTGGTACTGCCATAAGCACAGCCATACAGAGCAATGAAACAATTCAATCCAGAAATAAACCACTGTATTTTTATGGTCAAGTGATTTCTGACGTAAGTACCAACTCAATGGGGAAAGGATAGTCTTTTCAACATAAGGTGCTGGGACAACTGGATCTCCACATGCAAATAAATGACTTTAGACCTTTACCTCACAAAATAAAAATTAACTCAAATGTATCAGAGTCCTAAATGTAAGAGCTAAAACTATAAAACTTTTAGAAGAAGGCACAGGAGAAAATCTTCATGACCTTACATGGGCAAAGATTTTTTACATATGACATCAAAAGCACGATCCGTAAGAGAAAAAAAAACTGATAAATTGAACTTAATCAAAATTCAAAGCTTTTGGCACTTTAGAAGACACTATTAGCCACAGGTTGGGAGAAAATATTCATAATTCAGGTATTTGATAATGGACTTGTATCCAAAATATATAAAGAACTTACACTAAGAAGGCAAACAATCTAACCAAAAAATTTGAAATTTAAATTAGATATTTCACCCAAAAATAAATAAATACGATGACTAATAATAAGCACATGAAAAGACACTCAGCATCACTGTTGCCAGTTGCCATCAAGTCGGCTCTGACTCATAGCTACCTCGTGTATAACATGGTTCAGGACCTGCCCATTTCTGCTCAACACAGAGCTGGAGCTTCCTGTTGGACTGGTGTGTGGTAATGGAAAGCAATCTTGGCTTTTGTCCTTGGTTCCTGTACACTAACCCTGGGAATAGGAATTGAGGTACCTTTATGTGAAACCTCCAGATCACACCTGAGGATTTGTGCTAACAAGTGGGGGCTGGACAAATCAGAAAAGACTCACCTGGTAGGCCGATGTCAACTAACTGCAAGAGGGCTGGGTTAGCCTACCATGCATATGCAAATGAGGGCTCAATCTGGACTGGCTGATAAAAGCCCTGAACACGGAGGCTCAGACAGCTTCCTGGTTGGTGAAGGGAAGGTGATGCACCCTCTTTGGGACATGGAAGCTCTCCACTGGGAACACTTCCAGACCTTGCCTATGTATCTCTTACTTATGACAATCCTGATCTGTATCCTTTCGCTAGGCTAAATCTATAATCATTAAGTACAGTACTTTCTATGAGTTCTGTGAGTCGTTCCAACAAATTATTGAACCTGAAGGAGTAAGGGGAAGCTAGCAGGTTAAAGTGAGGGAACCCAGGGGAGGTCCCCAATCTTGTGGCTGGCATCCTGAATGGGTACTGGGAAAACTCTGAAATCTGTGGCCAGCAGATCTGAAGTGTGAGGTGTCATGTGGACTCCCAAACTGGCAGCTGGCATTTGCCTATTTGGCAGTGTTAAGGATGGTTTCCTTTTAACTTGGAGATCTCTCCTAGCACTGAGTGGCTATGGTCAGAGACAGAGTGTGCTGTGTGGGTGGTTGGTGTCAGAAATGACTGAGAAGTGGGGAAACTGGGGACTGGATCAATCTCCACATTTTGGGGATTGGATTCATGCCGATTCTTATCCATGAAGCTGGCCAAGACTTTCTTAAAGCTGTACCACTACAGAGGCTTCTCCTATCTGGAACTCCTTCCTTCTCCCTCTTCTCTCACAGGGGTCAGACCTTCACTGCATCTGAACACGATCCCTGCCCACCCCTGATCCCTCTCCCCTCCATCTTTCAAGGTATTATCTCCAATAAATCTGATTTTCCTTTTTTTTTCTTTAAGAGCACCTATCTTCTAAAACACCGTCTTGTTAAGTTTCTTCCTGTGTCTCCCGCTGCTAGAATATCATCTCTACTAAGGCGGAAGCCTTTTTCTGTTTGGCTCCCTGACCGATGTTTAGACCTTTACCTCACAAAATAAAAATTAACTCAAATGTATCAGAGTCCTAAATGTAAGAGCTAAAACTATAAAACTTTTAGAAGAAGGCACAGGAGAAAATCTTCATGACACAAGCACCTACAACAGCGCCTGGTTCCTAGTGGACCCTTGATAAATATTTGCTGAATGAATGAAAACGCACATCATTTTGTTCCCTGAAACATTTCTCAATCTATACTTCGTTTGATTCTCACAACTCTGTTAGGCAGATGTTTTGCCTCCATTTGAGAAAAAAAGAAATGGGAAAATTACCTGTTCACAGTCAAAATGATTTAGTAGAGAGCTGGGCCGAGACATCTGGTCTTCTGACTACCCAGCACTGAGTCTGGTTTGACTGAACCAGCTTTCACTTAGCACCTCATACATACACAAGCGGCGCCACGTTAAGCGCACAGCCCAGGGAGGACACGCACAGATACATGGGCTATTCAAGAGAACACGGTCAGCACTACAAGGGGTTCTTTGGGGGCACAGGGAGGGCGAATCTAAGGGCTCAGGGAAGGCTTCCCAAAGAAGTGCTGTCCACGCTGAATCTTAAAGGACTGAAAAAAAAAAAAAGCAAAGAGAAGTAGAAAGGGCATTCCAGGCAAAGGGACCAGCATGAGCAAAGGCATCACAGCTTGGTGCCGCAAGGAAACCTGGAAAACCTAGCACGTGTGGTGTGAGGCAGAGGTAAGAGAGAGATTAGGCTGGAGAGGGAGAGAGGAAGATGAGTCCAGACTTCAGCGGCCACTGTGTGAACGGGCTGGGGAAGCCAAAGGAGACAGGGAATAAGGGAAGCAGTATAAAAGTTCCCAGGAAGGAGGGCGGGGAGGAGGGAAACTGTCTTTCCAGGCATGTCTCCAATCCATGTCTGCGACAGCGCCTGGCCACTGACAGAGCCCCACTCACTCACCTAAATAGAACCGCAGGAATGGCGATGGAGTCATGTTCTTAAACATCACGATCTGCACCCAAGGGTTTTTATACTGGATCTGAGGTACGTTGAAAAACACAAATTTCCTGCAAAGGGAAGAAATGAAACCTGTGAGATGGTGTTTGTAACCCCAAATTTTGTGCACACGTGTGTTTCTCTGGGAAGAAAGTCCAGAACTTTCATCAGATTCTCAGAGGTCCCTGACCCCTAAAAGGCAGAGGAAAATAGCTCTAAGGAATCCACAAATGTATTCTCTGAACTGTTAGGACCCCTGCTTAGTCATCTGAGGAAAAAGAAACTGTAGTATCCCTATCTCACAATGGACACTAACCTAAAACCCACCAAAGCAAATGTACAAATATAAAAGCGAACCTGTGCAACGTTCTACACCTTGACTTGGTTGGTGGCTACAAGGATGTCTTCACAGGGGAAGTTCATCAAGCTGCACACTTACAGGCGTGCACTTAAATATACCTAGCTTATACCTCAACTCAAGAAACAAAACCACGAAAATAAGCGTGGGGGGATATTTTCACAATACAGGACTGGGGAAACCCTTTAAACTTAGAAGTTTTAAAACAGAGATAAATTTAACTACATTAAAACCTTTGAGTGGCAAAATTTACCAAAGCCCAAATCAACATTTGCCAAACCAAAAGCAAAATGTTTATAGAACATAAAACAAAGGGCTAATTTCCTTAATACAGTTTTATACCTCATTAATATGACCTACAACTCAACAATAAAAAAAAGGCAAAGGCCACTAACAGGCAGTTCACAGAAAAGAAACCCAAATGGCCTATAATCATCTGAAGAGATTCTCAATATATTCCCACTAAAGTCAGGCAGGAGCCCTGGTGGTGCAATGGTTAAGAAGAGCTCAGCTGCTAACCAAAATGTTGGCAGTTCAAATCCACCAGCGGCTCCTTGGAAACCCTAGGGGACAGTTCTACTCTGTCTTACAGGGTCACTATGAGTCAGAATTGACTCTCGAAGGCAACGGGTTTGGTTTTGGTTTTTAAAGTCAAGCAAATGAAAATAATGATTCCTTCTCACCTATTAAATTCCTAAAGATAAAAAAAGTTACAGAAGTGGGGAAACACTTCCTTAAGAATATAAACTCATTTAATCCCTTTGGAGGTCAATTTGAAACTAAAAAAATTTTAAAAGCAATTTTTTTTTTAAATTGTTTTATGGTAGTAAAAATATATAACATAAAATTTGCCATTGTAACCATTTTTAAGTGCACAATTCAGTGATATTAATTACATTCATCATGCTGTGCACCCATCACCACTATCTGTTTCCACATTTTCCCACCACCATGAAGAGAAACTCAGTGCCCCCTAAGCAACGACGCCCCTCTCCCCCTCCCTCTCACTCCCGGTAATCGCTAATAAACTTTGGTTTTTATGCATTTGCCTATTTCATGTAAGTGAAATCATACAGTATTTGTACTTTCGAAAAGCAAAGATCTTGCCTCAACGACTTCACATCTGGTTTTAGAGACATTCCCACCTGAATGCAAAACCATAGGTGAGGTTTACTATAACATCATTTGTAATATAGAGGGAAAGAAACAGCTTAAATGCCCACCAACAGGGGACTGATTAAATAAGATATGATACAACCATGTCTGGATCCTTCCGTCTGCCCCCCTGGTCCCCTCTCCACCTGCTGATGGTGACACATATAGCTGACCTCTGGGGCTTCCTTGCCCTCTGGCTTTGTGTGGGGTTCGGCCTGTGGGGAGCACTGGCACGAGACTGGAAGGGGGGGAGGTGAAGTCAAGGAATTCCCTTCCCTGGCTCAGTCTCTGGCTCTGTCCCAGCCCTAGAAACTCCAGCCTCCAGGTCCAACAACCATTCTCTCTCCTCACTTCCTCAGGTCTAGACCTGGGGTCTTGGTCCATTACTTGTGGTTTCTTTTCCCCATCCTTGCTCACACCTTCGTAAATTGTCCCTTAACTAAGCGCTGCCCGAATTACCCTAATTTAAATGTGCCATCTGTTTCCTGCTGGGAGCCTGACCCGAACACCAGCCCAGGGAAAGGTGGGAGAGGTACGTAGGACAGCAGCACAGTCTCGGAGCCAGACTGCATGGCTGCAAAGCCCAGCTCTGCCACTTCCTAGCTGTCAGACCCAGGGCGCTTCTCTGTGGCTCAATGTTTATGCCACCTGCAAAACAGAGGTAATAATAGTACCTCTACTTCAGGGAGCAGTTAAATAAATTAATATATAATTAAATGAATGAATATACATAAACGTCTTAAAAGAGTATCTAGCACAGGTAAGTTCTCAATTAATGCTAGCAATTATTATGTAAAAGGAACCCTGGTGCCACAGTGGGTTAAGTGTTCAGCTGCTAACTGAAAGGTAGGCAGTTCGAAACTACCAGCTGCTCCACAGGAGAAAGATGTGGCAGTCTGCTTCTATAAAGATTTATAGCCTTGGAAACCCTATGGGGCAGTTCTACTTTGCCCTATAGGGTCACTATGAGTTGGAATTGACTTGATAGCAACGGGATTGGTTTTTGTTTTTTGTATTATTATGGCGTTAACAATTTGCATTTGAATACTAACCAAAAGGTTGGCGGTTCAAACCCACCCAGTGGCACCGAAGAAGCCTTGGCAATCTGCTTCCATAAAGATTACAGCCAAGAAAACTCTACGGAGCAGTTCTACTCTGTAACACATGGGGTTCCACGAGTCGGAATCAACTCAACGGCAATGAGTTTATTATTATGTAGCTGATAAAAAGGATGTGGTAGATCTATAAAGGGTTGACAAGGAATGATCTTCCAGACCTGGTGTTAAGTGAAAAAAGCAATGCACGAAACATGCATACAGTATATACTCATTTGTATGTGTTTTTTTTTTAAGTACTGAAATAAAGATATGCAAACAGTTGAAAGGACAGGCTCTGCTGAGCCCCGAAGACAGGCTCCTCTCGGCCCTCAGCCTGGCCTCTGCCCTGCTCAGGCAAGTGTTAACAAAGCTCTTTAGCTCCGCCAATAAGTGCCCAGAGGCACCCCGCTCCACCAGCAAACCCCCTGCCTGACAGCACTCAACTCTCTCACTCCATGGATCCACATGTCCACCACAGCCACCTCACTCAATGGGCTGTGCCATCTCACGACTGTCTCCTGGTTCTGCTGCTGCCTCTCGCTGTCCTGCACCTTCTCTGGTGTTACAGCTCTCTGTCTCCTGAGTCTAGGAGGTTCTCAGCACAGGGACCCCAGATCCAAAGGACATGCTCTGCTCCTGGTTCTTCTTTCTTGATGGTAGTGAGGTCCTCCCTCTGCTCTGGGACTGGCTTTAAGTCTAGTATGGCAAAACTGACTAATCCCCTCGTTAGGGTTCCATACACCTTATTTGCATGGTCCCACCCCTGCAAGGATTCCATGCACCTTATCTGCATTATTAGCAGGCTGTCCAATCCCCTTGGTGGGCCACAAGCTGTTTATTTGCATAGTCCCACCTAATCATTTTGTGGGAGTCATAAGACCATGCATGGCTAGAAGGGCCTTATTAAGTAATTCACTACACCATACATACTCACAGAGAGATGCTTATATAAGCATAGAAAATTTCTGAAAGAAAATACAAAGAACTTAGGAGAGGTTCCCTCTAAGGAGGCCTGGGACAGGGGGCTTACAGGAAAAGGGAAGAGATTTTTCATTCGTCCATCCACCTACCCACCCACCCATCCATGTGTATGCATGTATGTATTTGCGTGCTTGCGTACATAACTTTATAAAACTAACCTTTTAAAAATCAATAAGTCTTCTAGTTAAAGATGGTAGATTGACACATGTATTTACCTCCACTTCCTCCTCTAACAATGTAAAAGGATTTTTCTAAGGCACAAACTCCAAGGGACAAACAAATGTTAAAGGTATAAATGTCAAAGGGAGAAGAGACAACAGAACAAAAATTCTGCAAGATGGACAACAGAAAGAAATGGAAACGGACCTTGCAGACCCTGAGAAAGAGTAACTCCAACCTGGCCATGGAGTAGACCGAGCAGCAGCCTGACCTGCACTGCCCAGCCCCAGGGAGGTTTCAGGGTGGTGCTGCTGATCCCCTCAGAGTTGGGCTAGGAGGCTGTCTGGAAGCAGAAGAACTGCTTGAAAGTCAGTTTAAGAAGCAGTTGGTCCTGTGATCCCTACCCAGGTGGGAACCCTTACGCCCCAAAATGTGGAGGGTTGTTCTCTGGAGAGGGGAGGTTGTTGGTCTGGGAGATATTTTGCACAGTTGAGGGCAGGGGGTAGTTACATACTGAACGTTGTTAACTCCCAGCCTCTTTGCCTACTGGCTCCCATGCTCTGGTGGCCAGATCTACATCCTCCAGGCATGAGATCAGAGAATACTTTCTGAGGAATCCAACCAGTTCAAGAGAAACAGACAAAAAAAATTAGGGGTTCCCCAACAAAATAACAAAGCTAGATGCCTTACAGTGAAGTTCCTAGTTGAAAAACACCAACCATACACCCGCAGGATCCAGTCAGGACCTCAGTAACCCACTCTTAAATATATGATCCCTCAGTCAAAGACCACCAACATCTGAGGACGACCTCTAATCTGAAAGACACAAAAACCAATGCGATGCTGGTAGCACAAGTGTGATGGTTAAGGTTATGTGTCAACTTGGCTAGGCCATGATTCTCAGTGGTTTGGCAGATATTATGTAATTATCCTCCATTTTGTGATCTGATGTGAGCAGCCGATCAGTTGAAAGGGGAATCTCCTTGGGGGTGTGCCCTGCATCCAACATATACAGATGTTCCAGAAAAGCTCACCCTCTCTAGATCCTGCATCTGACTCATCATCCTCTGATCTCTGATTCTTGGGACATGAGCCAGCAGTCTGCTGTCGACCTGCAGATTTTGGCATTCGCTAGTTCCCACAGCCCTGTGAGCCGGCAGCCTGCTGTCTGACCTGCTGATTTTGGGTTTGTCAGCCCCTGCAACCACATTAGTCGGAGAAGTCTCCAGCCTGACATCTGACCCACAGATTTGGGACTTGCCAGCCTCTACAACTGCGTGAGCCATTTCCTTGAAATAAATCTCTCTATATATATACACAC